TTGACAAGCTGGAATGTGTCCAGAGAAGGGCGGCTAAAATGATCAAAGGTCTGGAGTAGGGGTCCACAAACTATGGCCCGAGAGCCGGATATGGCCCTCCAAGGTCATTTACCCGGCCCTTGCTCAGGGTCAACCTAAGTGTGAAACAACTTGAAAGCACACAACAACAGCAACAACAACAACAACAATCCTATCTCGTCAGCCAAAAACAGGGTCCACACTTCCAATTGAAATACTGATATGTTTATATTTGTTAAAATTGTTCATTTTAATTATTGTATTGTTTTAAGTGTTTTTTGTACAAATAAGATATGTACAGTGGTCATAGGAATTCATTCATATTTTTTTCAAATTATAATCCGGCCCTCCAACAGTTTGAGGGACTGTGACCTGGCCCTCTGTTTAAAAATTTGAGGAACCCTGGTCTGGAGAGCAAGCCCTGTGAAGAGTGGTTTAAAGAGCTGGGCATATTTAGCCTGCAGAAGTGAAGGCTAAGAGGAAACATGATGGCTATGTATAAATATGTGAGAGGAAGTCATAGGGAGGAGGTAGCAGGCTTGTTTTCTGGTGCCTGGAGACACAGAACAATGGCTTCAAACTACAGGAAAGGAGATACCACCTGAACATTAGGAAGAACTTCCTGACTGTGAGAGCTGTTCAGCAGTGGAACTGTCTGCCCACCGAAATACTGGTAAGTTTATTGTTATTCATTTTAAATACAATATTTAAAACAAATAACAATTTTAACCAACATATAAATTTATCAGTATTTCAATGGGAAGTATGAGTCTGGTTTTGGCTGATGAGATAATCAGGTTAATTAGGATTGTTGTTGTCGTGTACCTTCATTTCAGACTTAAGGTGACCCTAAGTCTAAACTTTAGTGCAGGGGCCAGGTAAATGACTTTGGCGGACCAAATCGGCCCGCTGGCCTCTGTTTGCAGACCCCTCCTCTAGATAAACATCTCTAAAAATGGAGTGCATCTTAGACTTACAGGTATATCTTATGTATTTTTGTTGGTGGTGGTTGTACTGAAATTAGCATGCATCTTACAATTGATGACATCTTACAATTAAAGAAATATATAGGCACCTGCAATTCTGAGATGTGACCCACTTTTTGAGATGTTTATATGGAGGAAAAAGTGCATCTCAGAATAGGTAGTAATTGGGACTGTTTCTATCAAAGTGGAACAGTTGGAGAGTATGGAACCTTTGTACTACTGCCAAAAAGGAGCTTATTTTGAAAGACCCCCTCCGAAGAGAAGGTGACACTTTAAGTCCTTCTCTATATCCCAGGCTGTCATGTATAGTAAGAGCCTCTGGCACCTCCATGGAAAGCTGTTGCAATTGATTGCAACATTTGAGTGTTGACTTTGATAGTGGTGACAGCAGTGGTAGGGCAGTCTCAGCAAGCTGATCAAAACATAATATTTAATTGACTTTACCTTGGACTTCTGCCCATCCTGTGGATTCAGGGCCAGCATAAAGGAGGTGTAATAGAGTGTCAGTGTAAATGGAGACTTGTAGGCACTCCCTATGATTCAGGCTTTTTAGTCAGAATGGAAAGCATGGAACTCACAAAGAGAGCCAGTTTCGATGAAACGGCAAAGTATAAATAATGAAAATGGCAAAACATGTTCTGTCCTTACCGTGAGTGGATCTGCTTTACGAGTGCTTCTTTCTGCTTTCCCCTCATTTGTTTCAATATACAGAGATGTGGAATGCTATTATAGTAATGCTTTCTAATTGCATATTATACTATTCAAATAAGTATGAACTGAGGTACTTAGAGTTGCCAGGCTACTTTCTCCATTATAACTTTTCCTTCCCTGTCCATATTCAAGCATAATAATTCCCTTATCATATTTTTCTTAATAATATTTCTTTGTGCACATTTTCAAATAAGTCTTCTTAGACAACTGAATCCTAGCCAAGCCTGCTTTGGCAATCCTGTAGGTATGTGTGCATGTCTACAATAGCAAAGATAAACAGCATCTGCTTCCAGCTGTGTTTTGTAGAGGAATCAACAAAAAGGAGAGAAAAGGAAACTCCAGGCAAACCTACTTTACCAGCTTCCCCTTTATTTTATAAGCACAGATCTATCAGTTTAACCACCGAAATTGAAATTATAAGAGGCTTATGAATGCTAATATCATCCCTTGATACATCTTGGAAGAAGCTTTCAAGATTTTATCTTCACTAAATCACTCCCCACCCCCTTTCACTCTCCTGGTGTGTCATTTTATGCGACGGGAGAGCTGTTTGAAGCCTGTAATGGATGCCAGGTAAGCTTTCATTACTTTTCAAAGGAGTCTGGGGGCTTTGGGGGAGGGGGAGGGCCAGTCCCGTGAGAACGTCTGGACACCCATCCCAGAAAGCGCACGCTTTCCAGGGTGAGTGTAGACAGGCCCCCAGGAAAAGGCCAGTCTGGATCCTCCCTAAGACTCACGTTTTCTCTAAATCAGGGGTCCCAAGAGTTTTAAAGCTGAGAGCCAGTTCCCTCAGACTGTTGGACTATAATTTGAAAAAAAAAAACTCCAATGAATTCCTGTACACAATACACATATCTTATTTGGAGTGCACAAAATCATGAAAGAATAATACAATATTTAAAATGCAGAACAATTTTAACTGACATAACCTTAACAGTATTTCAGTGGAAGACTTTAGAGGTCATCCAGTCCAACCCCCTTCTGCCATGCAGGAAAGGCACAATCAAATCACCCCTGACATATGGCCACCCAGTCTCTGTAGTAGTAATAGTAGTAGTAATAGTAGTAGTAGTAAATATAATCATCATCATCATCCCTAGGGGCCACCCAGTTCAACCCCCTTCTACCACATAGAACAAGCACAGAGTACCCCTGACAGATGACCATTCAGCTTCTGTAACGACGACAATGACAACAACAACAACAGCAACAATAATAATAGCAGCAACCTCAGGGGCCATCCAGTCCAACCAACTTCTGCTATGACAGATGGCTAATCAACCATGATGATGATGATGATGATGATGATGATGATGGTAGCAACTCCAGGGGCTGCCTTGGTTAGCACTGAATAGCCTTACAGCTTCAAAGCCTGGCTGCTTTCTGCCTGAGGGGAATCCTTTGTTGGGAGGTGTTTGCTGGTAGTATTTAAACAACTTTAAAATCAGGACAGCAAATAATGAACAACATTAAAGAAAGGGGAATTCCAGACAAGAAACAATCAGGGCCAGCTAACATCTCCCAACAAAGTATTCCCCCAGGCAGGAAGCAGCCAGGCTTTGAAGTTGCAAGGCCGTTCAGTGCTAATGTGGACAATTTCAAAAGAAAGGAGGAAACCATGAAACCATGAAAATGAATAAAATTTGGCTCCCGGTATTTAAATAAAACCTTCTAAAATCCGGAGAGTAAACAAAGAGGAATACTAAAAAACTGGGGAATTCCAGGCAGGAAACAATCAGGACCAGCTAAAGTCAGCTGAAGTGGTTTTAAAACTGCATAAATTTTACAGTGTAGATGAGCCTCCGGGACTTGTAACAATACCAAGAACAATATAAAGCTCTGTCTTTTGGTTTGTTCTATCACTATTGTGTTTTAGTTTACATTGTCACATAGTTTAATTTTATACTAGCGTGTGTAAAATCCTTTCCCTTTCTTCTTCTTCTTCTTTTCCTTCCCAAATGTATCACTTAGACCAGCGTTTCTCAACCTGGGGGTTGTGCTCCCTGGAGGGAGGTCATTTGGGAGTTGTAGTTGCTGGGATTTATAAACCTACAATCTAAACGCATTCTGAACTCCACCAATGATGGCTTGGAACCAAATGTGGCACACAGAACTCCCATGACCAACAAAAAATACCGGAAGGGTTTGGTGGGCATTGACCTTGAGTTTGGGAGTTGTAGTTTATATACATCCAGAGAGCACTGTGGACTCCAACAATGATAGATCTGGACCAAACTTGGCACAAATACTCAAAATGGCCAAATGTGAACACTGGTGGGGTTTGGAGAAAATAGACCTTAACATTTGGGAGTTGTAGTTGCTGGGATTTAAAGTTCATCTATAATCAAAGAGCATTATGAACCCCACCAACAAACGTCCCACACAGAACCCCCATGACCAGCAGAAAACACTCTGTTTTCTGGTGGTCTTTGGCGACCTCTCTGACACCCCCCATGACCCCTCCAGGGGTCCCGACCCCGAGATTGAGAAACCCTGCTCTAGTGTGATGAGGGCATTAACTGTAGTTTACAGAGGAGCTTTTAACACTCTCACTAAAACCCAAAATTTCGCAGGCGGCAGAAACCAGATTTCAAGTGAATTCTTTCTCTAGTGTGAGTGTGCTTAAGTGAATAGATCATTACAAAAGAAAGAAGGAAGGAAAGAAAGAAGACAGGAAGGAAGGAAGGAAGGAAGGAGGAGGAAGGAAGGAAGGAAGGAAGGAAGGAAAGAAGGAAGGAAGGAAGGGAGGAAGGAAGGAAGGAAGGAAAGGAGGAAAGGGGAAGAAAGAAGGAAGCAAGGAAAGAAAGGAAGGAAGGAAGGAAGGAAGGAAAAGGAGGAAGGAAGGAAAGAAGAAAAGGAAGAAGAAGAAGGAAGGAAGAAAGAAGGAAAGGAAAGGAAGGAAAGAGGGAAGGAAGGAAGAAAAGGAAGGAAAAAAGAAAGGAAGGAAAGAAGGAAGGAAGAAGAAGGAAGGAAGAAAAAGGAAGAAGGAAGGAAGGAAGGAAAGAGAAGGAAGAAAGAAAGGAAGAAGGAAGGAAGGAGGAAAGAAGGAAGGAAGGAAGGAAGGAAGGAAGGAAGGAAGGAAGGAAGGAAGAGAGGAAGGAAAGACAAAAGGAAAGGAAAGAAAGAAAGAAAGAAAGAAAGAAGAAAGAAGGAAAGAAGGAAGGAAAGAAAAAGAAAGGGAAGTGGTCCTTTCTCATCGCGGATTGGTTGAGCGTTGGGACAAGAAGCCTCCTCTTTCCAATGAGGGGAGGCGAAGTGCCGACTTCTCCTCCTCCTCCTCCTCCTCCTCCTCCTCCTCTTGCCTGGGCTTTGGAGAGCCGAGAGCGCAGTCTGGAGCGGCTCCACGCCTTCTGCCCGGCGCGCCTTGGGCTGCCTTTGCCTCTTGGCGGCGATGCTGGCGGGGGGATGCGCCTGAACTTCTCCTCCTCCTCCTTCCTTCTCAAGCCTCCTCCGGGACTTCTTCTCCCTCCTTAGGATGCGGGCGCTGAACATCACCCCGGCGCAGTTTGCGCGTCTCCTGCGGGCCCACAACGTGACCCGGGAGGAGTTCATCGCGCGCTACGGGCTCCAGCCGCTGGTCTACATCCCGGAGCTGCCGGGGAGCGCCAAGCTGGCCTTCGTCCTGACCTGCGCCCTCATCTTCGCCCTGGCGCTCTTCGGCAACGGGCTGGTGCTCTCCGTGGTGGCCCGCCGCAAAGCCATGCGCACCGTCACCAACATCTTCATCTGCTCCCTGGCGCTCAGCGACCTCCTCATCGCCTTCTTCTGCGTCCCCTTCACCATGCTCCAGAACATCTCCAGCAACTGGATGGGCGGTGAGCACAGGACGGGACGGGCCAGGGGGGAGGGGGGATGGCAGTTCCTGGGAAGGTCTCCTTATCCACTAAGCCAGGCATGGGAAAACTTTCTAACCCCCCCCCCCCCCCCCCCCCCCCCTGCCATTTCCTCCTCTTCTCTTTCGGAGGCTTTATATTTAGGTTCTTGTGGGTTTTTTCTAGAGGCATTTCTCCTGACGTTTCGCCTGCATCTATGGCAAGCATCCTCAGAGGTTGTGAGGTCTGTTGGAAGTAGGAAAAATGGGTTTATATATCTGTGGAATGGCTGGGGTGGGGCGAGGAGCTCTTCCCTGCTGCAGTTAGGTGTGAATGTTTAGCTGATCACCTTCATTAGCATTTGAAGGCCTGCCTGAGCCTGGGAAAATCTGTTGCTGGGAGGTGTTAATCTGTGCCTGGTTTTTTCCTCTCTGTTGTTTAGCTGTTATAATTTTAGAGTTTTTTAATACTGGTAGCCAGATTTTGTTCATTTTCATGGTCTCTTCCTTTCTGTTGAAATTGTCCACATGCTTGTGGATTTCAATGGCTTCTCTGTGTAGTCTGACATGGTGGTTGTTGGTGTGGTCCAGCATTTCTGTGTTCTCAAATAATATGCTGTGTCCAGGCTGGTTCATCAGGTGCTCTGCTATGGCTGACTTCTCTGGTTGAAGTAGTCTGCAGTGCCTTTCATGTTCCTTGATGCGTGGCTGGGCGCTGCGTTTGGTGGTCCCTATGTAGACTTGTCCACAGCTGCATGGTATACGGTAGACTCCTGCAGAGGTGAGAGGATCCCTCTTGTCCTTTGCTGAACGTAGCATTTGTTGGATTTTCTTGGTGGGTTTGTAGATTGTTTGTATGTTGTGTTTCCTCATCAGCTTCCCTATGCGATCAGTGGTTCCCTTGATGTATGGCAGGAACACTTTTCCTCTGGGTGGATCTTCATCTTTACTCTCGTGGCTTGTTCGTGGTCTTGCAGCTCTTCTGATGTCTGAGGTGGAGTATCCATTGGCCTGGAGAGCCCAGTTGAGGTGGTTCAGTTCATCTTGGAGGAGGTGGGGTTCGCAGATTCTTTTTGCACGGTCTGCCAAGGCTTTAATGGTGCTTCTTTTTTGACTTGGGTGATGGTTGGAGTTTTTATGTAGATATCTATCTGTGTGTGTGGGTTTTCTGTAGACTGTGTGACCCAATTGTTGATCTGGTTTGCGGATGACTAGGACATCTAGAAAAGGCACTTTGAAGAACAAGCCCTGGAAACAGCAACCAAAAAGCCCACGATATGGTTCAGAGATGTGGATGACACCTTCACCATTTGGAGCCATGGAGAAGAAGAACTCAACAGGTTCCTGGACCATCTTAACAGCATCCACCCAAACATCCAGTTCACCATGGAAAAAGAAAATGAAGGAAGACTGCCTTTTCTAGATGTCCTAGTCACAGAGAGGAAACAACCAGGCACAGATTAACACCTCCCAGCAAGAGATTTTCCCAGGCTCAGGCAGGCCTTCAAATGCTAATGAAGGTGATCAGCTGAAACATTCACACCTAACTGCAGCAGGGAAGATCTCCTTGCCCCACCCCAGCCATTCCACAGATATATAAACCCATTGTCCTACTTCCAACAGACCTTCTCAACCTCTGAGGATGCTTGCCATAGATGCAGGCGAAACGTCAGGAGAAATGCCTCTAGAACATGGCTCTATAGCCCGAAAAAACCCACAAGAACCTAGTGATTCCAGCCATGAAAGCCTTCGACAATACATTGTATTCGAAGACTTTAATGGCCAGAATGACTGGGTTGCTGTAAGTTTTCTGGGCTGTATGGCCATTTTCTCTCCTGAGGTTTCACCTGCATCTACGTGCTACACAACAGGAGATTTTTTGTTGAGTTCCAGGGCCAGAGAAGCAGAGGGCGGAAACAAAAGAACGGCCTGCCTCAGGGGAGCGTCCTTGCTCCATCCATGTTCAACGTTTACACAAATGACCAGCCACTGCCAGAAGGGACAGAAAGCTTCATCTATGCTGATGATCATGCCATTACTGCTCAAGAAGGGAGCTTTGAGATGGTAGAATGGAAGCTCTCCAAAGCTCTAGGTGCTCTTACTGCCTATTACAGGGAAAACCAGCTGATCCCTAATCCATCTAAAACACAGACATGTGCTTTTCACCCTAAGAAAAGACAAGCATCCCAAGCTCTGAGGATCACCTGAGAAAGAATCCCACTGGAGCATTGCAGCACACCCAAATACCTGGGAGTCACTCTGGACCATGCTCTGACCTACAAGAAGCACTGCCTGAATATCAAGCAAAAAGTGGGTGCTAGAAATAATATCATATGAAAGCTGACTGGTACAACCTGGGGATCACAACCAGACACAGTGAAGACATATGCCCTTGCGCTATGCTACTCTGATGCTGAGTATGCATGCCCAGTGTGGAACACATCTCACTACACTAAAACAGTGGATGTGGCTCTTAATGAGACATGCCGCATTATCGTGGGGTGTCTGCGCCCTACATCACTGGAGAAATTACACAGTTTAGCCGGTATTGCACCACATGACATCCGCAGGGAAGCAGCAGCCAATAGTGAAAGGATCAAGGCAGAGACATCTCCAGCTCATCGCAGCTCATCCCTTGTTTGGATAAATCAAGAAATAGTTTTCTAAGATCTACAGAGACACTCGCTGGAACACCCCAGCAAGCGAGAGTCCAAAAGTGGCAGGCTCAAACCCAGAACCTCAATCAATGGCTGATACCAAATGGGAGACTCCCCCCTGGGCACACAGAAGACTGGGCGACTTGGAAGGCGCTGAACAGACTGCGCTCTGGCACCATGAGATGCAGAGCCAACCTTAAGAAATGGGGCTACAAAGTGGAATCCACGACATGCAAGTGTGGAGAAGAGCAAACCACTGACCAATGCACAATGGAGGACCTTCTTGCGGCAACACCAGAGGCACTCCAAGTGGCCAGATACTGGTCAAAGGACATTTAATCAACTACCAAGCTTGCAAACTTTGTGTTTTGTCTTTGTTTGTTTGTTTGTTTTGTTAGAAATGTAATACAACTGTCTGGTTCCTCCTGACACAATAAATAAATGAATAACCTGCATCTATGGCAGGCATCCTCAGAGGTTGTGAAGTCTGTTGGAAACTAGGAAAATAGGGTTTATATATCTCTGGGATGTCCAGGGTGGGAGAAAGAACACTTGTCTGTTGGAGGCAAATGTGAATGTTTCAATTGGTCACCTTGATTAGCATTTAATTGTTGTTGTTTATTCGTTCAGTTGCCTCCGACTCTTCGTGACCTCATGGACCAGCCCAAGCCAGAGCTCCTTGTCGGCCATCACTGCCCCCAACTCCTTCATTGGCAGTTTTCAAGGCGTGGCTTCTTACTCCCAGGGGCCATCCTTTTTTGAGGGGCGATTCGCTGTCCCTGATTGTTTCTTGTCTGGAGCTCCCCTGTCTTTATTTACTGTTATGATTTTAGAGTATTTTTTAATACTGGTAGCCAGATTTTGTTCAAAATTTTGTCCAAAATGAACAAAATCTGGCTACCACTATTAAAAACCTCTAAAATCATAACAGTAAATAAAGACAAGGGAGCTCTTGACAAGAAACAATCAAGAAAGGAGGTAGGAAAAAAGAAGAAAGGGAGGGAAGAAGATAAAGATTGAAGGAAGGGAGGGTGGGAGGGAGGGAGGAAAGAGAGAAGGAAGGAAAGAGAAAGAGAGAGGGGGGAGAGGGAAGGAAGGAAGGTGAAAGAGAGAGAGGGAGGGAGGAAAGAAGGAAGGAATGAGGAAGGAGAAAGGGAGAGGGAAGGAAGGAGGAAAGAGGAAGGAAAGAGAAGAGGAAAGAGAAAGAGGAGGGGGGAAGGGAAGGAGAAAGGGGAAAAGGGAAGGAGGAGGAAAAGAAGGAAGAAGAAGGAAGGAAAGGGAGGGAAGGAAGGGAGAAAGAGAAGGAAAGAATGAAGGAAGAGAAAGAGAGAGAGGGAAGGAGGAAGGAAATAGGAAAGGAAGAAGGAAGGAGGAAGGAAGGAAGGAGGAAGGAAGGAAAGAGGAGGGAGGGGAAGGAAGGGAGAAAGAGAGAAGGGAAGGAGGGAGGGAAGAAAGAAGAGGAAAGAAGGAGAAAGGGAGAAGGAAGGAAGGAGAGGAAGAGGGGAAAGAGAAGGAAGGAAAAGGAGAGAGGAAGGAGGAAGGAAAGAGGGAAGAAAGGAATGAAGGAAGGAGAGAGAGAGGGAAGGAGGAAGGAAAGAGGGAAGAAGGAAGGAGAGAGGGGGGTAAGGAGGGAGGAAGAAGAGGGAAAGGAAGGATGGAGGAAGAGAGGGGAAGAGAGGAAAGAAGGAGGAGAAGGGAAGAAGGAGAGGAGAAAGAGGGGGTAAGGAAGGAAGAGGAGGGAGGGAAAGAGGAAGGAAAGAGAGAAGGATGAAAGAATAGGATGGTGAGAGAGAGGAGGGCCTGAGAAAAGATCCCAAGGGGCCACATTTGGCCCCCAGTCCTGAGTTTGCCCATACCTGCACTAATCACTCAGACTGCAGCAGGCATGGGCCAAAGTCAGCCCTCCAGGTGTTTTGGACTTTAGGAATTGTGTGAGTTGAAGTCTAAAACACCTGGTGGGCAGAAGTTTGCCCATGCCTGGGCTACAGCAGCTATACACTGCAGAATCAATGCAGTTTGACTCTACTTTAACTGACATAGCTCAGTGTTATGGAATGTTCACTCTTGTGGAGCAGAGCTAAGCTTCAAAATTTGCATCTGATTTGACTTTAACTAAAAAGCGGGTGCCTTGCCAAACTACAACTGCCATAATTCAATGGACTAAAAGTGGCGTCAAACTGCATTCATTCTACAGTGTAAATTAGGCACGGGCAAACTTCGGCCCTCTGGGTGTTTTGCACTTTAACTCCCACATTTAGCACAGTCTAAAGTGATACATTTAGGAAGGGTGAGAAGAAGTAAAAGAGAAAAGATTTGCATGTGTCTATTCCAGGCATGGGCAAACTTT